GGATATGTAAGGATGACGTGACTGTTGTAAGAGTTTTCCCCTCTGTTCTCCACTGAGACAGTCACATCCAGGAGCTCATCGATGCCAACTTTAACTTCTGATGATCTGAAAGATAGACAAAAATTAACACAGGAAACTGTTTTCAGACCAGGAAGAGTCCTTTGGTCCACTTGTATGGTCCAGACCAAAAGTGGACTTTATTGTTTTTTTTTGTTTAGCGTGGTTTGCATTCACATTGTGCTTTTTTTGCAAATGAACTATAACTTGTAAACAAAGCCATGAGGCTGACGATCATTGCTCCCATTGGACAAAAAAGGATTGGGGCGGGACTGAGCCACAGATCCAGAAGAAAACAAAGAAGTCCTGTGTGCTGCGGTTCTGATGCGCACATTTTTGCTGATAGTACAACTGCAATAGCATTTAAAATGTCAAAAGCAGCTAATTTAATRGTGGTTTCGTGATGATATTCTAATTTTGGAGCGACGTCACGTAAATGTGTCCCGTGACCCAAAGGAGACGAGGTGCGCTGCGTGTTCTGACCCACTACATGCTGGCAGCAGAGCTGCTAACAGGAGATGACGAAACAGGTATGATTTCAGTTTATTTAGCTCAGCAATGGTGGCCTGTGAARTTCAAATGAACTGAAGTGAACCGCACCACAGTTCATTTGGAAGCGGACCGAGACCACCTCAAAAAGCAGGTCTCCGTCCGGTTGTTTGATCCGCACCAGAGTTCGCATGAGTGTATTCACACCTGCACAAAAGGTCCGGACCAACGCTGGAAACGAACTCTGGTTCGTTTAAAGCGGAGCAAATTATCAGGTCTGAATACGACCTGTGCACAAAGGATAACAGACCTTAAAGAGTTCCCAGAAAAATGCTTTCACAGTAACTGTGATTTACCGTTGTGCAATTATTATAGTGCAGGCCGAATTTTGGGGGATGATTCAAAAAGAAAAAGAAAAAGAAAAATCTGTCCCAGCTCTGGATAACATCTAAAGAAAAAAAAACGATAGGTGAAATGGCAAACATTTTATTTATATTTACATTTTTTTAAGCTGCTAAATTGTGCAGTAATAGGTTTTGTTTTATTTTCTAACTGTGACACACTGCGTCAGAAGGGCAGACCAAGTACAAAGTCCAAATATTACTCCTGCATCTGACAGCCTTGCTGAGTCTCTCTCTCTCTCTCTCTCTCTCTCTCTCTCTCTCTCTCTCTCTCTCTCTCTCTCTCTCTCTCTCTCTCTCTCTCTCTC